CTCCTCCTCCTCTCCTCCTCCTCTTCCTCGTCCTCGTGGGCGCCTCCTGTCGCGGGCCTTGGCGAGCGCGCAGCACTTGGCCTCCAGCTCGGACACCGCGCTGCGCACCCGCCTGGCCATCTGCGCCGCCAGCACGCACTCGTCCTGGGGACGGGCGGGGGGGGGAGGGCGGGCGCGCGGCGCGCGGGGGGGGTGAACACCCGACGCCAGACCTGTCGGCGCCCGCCGCAGGGGGGAGGGGGGGGGGGCGGTCGCAAGGCACGCGGGAGGGTGAACACCCGATGCCAGTCCTGCCGGCGCTTGCCGCGGCGACGGGGCCGGGCTCGATGCCGACGCCGACCTGGCGCCACCGGCGCCGCCGCCGCGAAGCCCCCGCGGATGGCCAAGCCATCGACGAGGCTCGGCAGGCCGAGCTGCTGGCCTTGGGCCCCCGCGGGGCCGCGGACCCACAGGTCCAAGATCGACATTCCAGCCGAAAGGGCTCCGGGCCAGAAGGAGCGGGGATCGAGGCGGGATCGGTGGTCCCAGGAGTTAGGGGGTGATAATATTGAAACGTGGCGGGGCTCCGAAGCAGGCGCTATGAGAGGACGGGGGAGCTCCTCACAAGCCCCGCCTGTGTCCCTGGGCGAACCGGAGGTGTCCACGAAGGCTTCCCAGAAGGAACGGGGGGGGGGGGGCTAAGAACCACGCGCCATGCCGAAGTCGCACGTCCCCTCCCGTCAGTGATGCCCCCATGCCTACCGACCAGCCGTCTCCCCCGACACGTTCCCATTCCACTACCCACCCCTCCCCCCGAATCGCCAACACCCCACCCCGCCCCGCCCCGCCTCTCTCCCCCCCTACACCCAACCCCCCATCCCCCACCCACTCACGCACGCGCGCACGCACGCACGCACGCACACGCGCGGGCGCGAACACACGCACGAAAACCCACCTTCGCGCCCACGCACGCACGCACGCGCTCACACACACGCGCACACACGCGCACACGCGCTCACGCTCGCACGCTCACACGCACGCCACCACGCACGCACCAACGACACACTACGACGACACACTACGACAACGACGACGACGACGACGACGACGGTGACTCCCACCACCACCACCAACACAAACATCAACACCACCAGCACCACCCGACACAAAAGCCCCCCCCCCTCCGAAAGCGACGAACAACCGCCCACCCACCCCAAACGACCTCTCTACACGGCCGCCACCCCCGCCCCCGCCCAAGTGCACCTCCCCGCTACCAACCCCAACAACCACTCCCACCCCGCGCCCCCTCCCACGGCCCCTCCAAAGTGTTTTAAGAACAACAGCAACAACAACAACAACAACAACCACAACAACAATGACAACGACAACGACAACGACAACGACAACGACAACGACAACGACAACGACAACAACAACAGGAACAACAACAACAACAACACCATCAAGAACAACATTAACAACAACAACAACAACAACAACACCAACAACAACAATATAACACAACCGGATACGACATTTGGACGGCGGTGGTGGGTGGCAAGGTCAAGAATTGCGGGCTATGGAGCGCGAGTGACGGTCATCGGGGCACGGTTACGGTTGGTGTGGCTATGTCCACCTAGTCGTGTCGGGGCGACGCTAATGCCGTGGTGGATGATGGCGGAAGCGTTACCTACGATGGTCGATGATCGACATGTTGGCTCTAGTACAACATAACCAACAATACACGTATTGATATTTCTGGTTTTGCTGACGAATATGTGGTAAATGTATTGTTTTTGGTATTGATATGTTTGGTATTGTTGGTAATATCCGGCGCAGATATCCGGTGCAGTACCCGCAGTGCGCCAGGATCTGAGACCCCATCGGGCGCGTCAAATAATGGCAGTACTACGACTACTAAGAATAGTAATCGTAGCAATAGTCGTAATTGTCGTAGTAAGACTAGTAGTTGTAGTAGTAGTTGCAGCAGTCGTTTCGTAGCAGTCGTAGTCTGGTGTAGCATTGCTCGAAGTAGTAGCCTGGTGATGCTGTAGTACCAATAGTGTGATGCTGACGATGATCATCATAATGCTGGTACTTATCGTAACAAAAATATTCAATGTGCGATTGTTACGTTCCCTGATGGCATTCAAATTTGGACCCGGAGTTCCCCACTGCCGACCAACATTGTCTTGGCGAGAGATTGTCCTGAGATTCGTGGGAGCGGGGGGGGGGCTTGATTATCGGAGGCATGCGGTTCGAAGATTTCTAGTTCTCGCGCGCGTGCAGCCCCTGGGGGTCACTGGGCGAAATAAAAAACCCGACCAATCTCCGGCAAGGTCCGGTCAGAGATGGTTCTGCTCCTGGGCGCCGGCCTCGGGGCTCCCCAGAGAGCTCCAATCAGGGCAAAGAGGCTCCCAAGATGTCCCCAAGAGGCCGCTCAAGAGGCCTCCAAGACGCCCCACGAAGCCTCCCAGAGCACTCCCAAGAGCGCCCCCAGAGGGAAAAAACATGTGTGTCCTCAGGTGTTTGAAACATGTTGGCGTTCTCGCCATTTCGGCTTCTCGACGCTCCAAGACGGCCCAAGAGGCCCCCAAGATTACCCCAAGACGGCTCCAGAGGCCTCCAAGAGGGCCTGAAGACGGCCCAAGAAGGCCCCAAGAGAAAGAGGCCTCCAAGACAGCCCAAAAGGGCCCCAGAACGGCCCTAAGAGAGGGCCCGAGGGGGATCCCGAACGAACATCTCGAGCCCTCGCCCCCAAGAGACGCCCAAGAGACGCCCAAGAGGCCCCCAAGAGCCCCTCAACATTTCCAAGGGTCCACCAAGAGGCCCCAAGAGAGTCCCAAGAGGCCCCCAAGATGCTCCCAGGACGCTCCCAAAAACTGCTCCCCAGGGACCCCCGAGAGCCCTGCGAGGATACCCCAAGAAGCCTCCACGAAGACTCTGACCCACAACCCAAGCACGGTTCCCCGCAGCGCCGCATGGTGTAACGAACCTGCGGGCAAATGCCAGCGATGCAGCAATTTGGGCGGGCGGAATGAGCGAAACGATCAAATGACAGCTCAACAACATGGAAAATGAGAGGGCGGCGCCAGAATGGGAACCGGAACCATCGTAAACACAGCGACGGGCCCAGGACAAGGACGGCACAACGGGACCAGAACAACACAAACAGCACTGACGTTTCCAGGGCCCGCTGAATGCGCGCGCGGGCCGCCTGCAGGGCCGCGGCATCCCCTCGAGAACCCTACCTGGTCGGCGCCCGCGGCAGCGTGCCATCACGCCCCATCGGGTACGCACATTTTGCCGTCGCTCGGACGTCCATTTCCCGTTCATTTTTCGGTTTCGTGCGTGTTTTTTGCTGCCGACAAAAAAAATGCACACGTCCGAGCGATGCCAAGACAAGAGTGGCCCCACGGTCGCCGTCCGAAGGGGAGAACAACTGGGGCAAGCAGGAGTCGTCGGAGGCCCGCGCGGCACTGCGAGAGTTCGCCTGCAGCAGCGAGCGCTGGAGAGGGAACCCAGGGACCTCTCGGGCCACGGCGAGCAACGGTGAGCCTCGGCCAAACATACAGCAGGGGCCCGACCACAAGAAGCCTTCCACAGGAAGCCCGACCCTGAGACCCCAGGACGTCCATCGATTTTTGGAGTGGGAACGTCACGCCTTCCGTGGCGCAACCATCGACACCCAAGCAGCCCAGGGCACCCTGGAGGCAAGCAGGGTGCTTCTTGACATGGACCCCCCCCCCCTGTATGTCTGCAACAATGAGCGCCGAAGAGGGAACCAAGGCACCTGTCGGGCCACGGCGACCCTCGGCCAATCATGGGCTCCTCGCCATAAATCGAAGGGTCGGCCCGAAAACCGGAGTCCCTCCTGAGCCCAGTGCGGTGCATATCTCAGCGTTTTGACTACAGGGAAAGACTGACCTTCGGTGCACGGCTCAAGACAGCCGCGGGGAGGGGCAAATCCAACCGCACAAGCCCAGTGCTGGGACGCGCGGGGGGGGGGGGCATGAACCTGCACCTCAGGTTTCTCCGGCGCAGAGCCACTTAGGGAAACAAGCATTGACATAAGCATGACATCTCGGAGGTCGGCGCATATTGATCGGATCGGCGCTGACCCCAGAGCGCGCCAGGTGCGGCGCGGGAGGCGTCGCCAGGGCCTGCCAGGGGGCCCCAACACTGATCCGAGGAATCCGCGCGGCCCTCCGATTGTTTAATTATGTGTATGACATCGTTTGTTCCCCGACCTGTGAGCCTGCAACACAGGACCCTCCGGCGAAGGGCCACTCTTACGCTTGGCCGATTCTACGTCTGCTTGTCTGCGTCTCGGCGACTCCGAAGGGAGTGATTTAACCTGGGGGGGCACCCTGGGGGGCGGGCGAGGACCTCGACAGAGCTCTCCGCCGCGACCCGAGGAGGCCCGGCGAAGACAGCGTCGTGCTCCCCAGGTCCCACCAACGGCGCCGATCGCAAACCACACCCTAGCGTAACTTGGATGCTCATTCCGGGGAGCTTCTTGGAGACACTCGCTCCACTCGTGCGTCGAAGCTGCGTCGAACGTCCGTCGATTTGAATCGACCTTGAGTCGAATCTGAGTCGAACCTGAGAGGAACCTGAGCCGAACTCGAATCGAACTTGAGCCGAACTTGGGTCGAACTTGGGCCGAACTGGGGGGGAACAGGTCCCTTAGGTGGGCCCCGGGAAGGTCCCCCAGACGAGCATCGAACGTAACTCGGGGGTGGACAGATCCCCCTTTAGTAAAACATGGTTTTGTGAGAACGACCTGAGGCCCAAATCTGGCGGGCGCAAGCCTGGAAAATAACGGCCGCGGCGCCCTCTCGAGGACCGAAAACGGACAATTCACTAATCGACGTGTCACTGTTGGGGGTTCTGTCCAACCCCGAGTACCCGTACCCTTTGTAGCCGCCGAGCCTACCCTGCGCACCCCTCAGGCTCCCCGGCGGGGGGCGCGGCCGCCCACAGCCTGCCCGCAGCCGGGGCCTCCACGGGGCGCCGCCCTATGCGCCACCGGCCGCCACCGCGGGCGGCTCGGCCGCCGCCTCCTGCTGGGGTCGTCATCGTCGTCACCGTCGTCGTCGACAGAGGAGAGGGAGGAGGAGGAGGAGGAGGAGGAGGAGGAGGAGGAGGAGGAGAGGAGGAGGAGGAAGGAGGAGGAGGAGAGGGAGAAGGAGGAGGAGGAGGAGGAGGAGGAGAGAGGAGGAAGACGAGGAGGAGGAGAGGGAGAAGGAGGAGGAGGAGGAGGAGGAGGAGGAGGAGGAAAGGAGGAGGAGGAGGAGGAGGAGGAGGAGGAGAAGCAGGAGGAGGAGGAGAAGGAGAAAGGGAAACAAAGCATCTCGCTAGAAAGGTCCATGGCCCAAGGGGCCCCTAGGATTCCCGTAGAGCCCCCCCTCACCAGGTCCCGAAGGCCCCCAGTGGAGTCCAGAATGGCACGTGTAGCTAGGCACAGCTGAGGCCATAACCACTTCTAGCAACACCCGAACACCTCGTGTTTGTTTCGCATGCTTTCTTGGTGAGTGAACGTTTTCTTATTCGGCGTTTCGACATTGGGCGAGAGGGGGGAGGAGGGAGAGGCTGGCTCCTGACCTCTGCTTAGCGCGACTGTGTGAGACAGTGGGGAACCCTATGGGGAATCGAATGGGGAATCTTATGGGGGAATCGAAAGTGGGAGTCATACGTGGGAGTCCTATGGCGAATATGATTGAGGAATCCTATGGGGGAGCCTCATTGGGGAAATAATGAAAAGGATGAGAGCCCTATGGAGGGAATCTTCACGGGGAATCCTGTAAGGAATTCTATGGTGATCATGGAGAATATTACGTGGGAGCATTATGCGGGAATCCTATGTGAGTCCTGTTGAGAATCTTATATAGTGAAATCATGTGAGGAATCTCGTGGGGACATCCCATTACGAATCCCATGAAGGAATCCTGTGGGGGGGGACTTCTGGGGGAATCCCAGAAAGTGAAATCCGAATATAGTTCGAATTAATTTGGAATCCGATTGGAATCTTGAGGACTTGCAATCCCACAACAACCGACTACCCTAGGTTGTGTGTTTTTTGTATCACATATGGCGCCCTGAAACACATGTCTTATTGTCCCGAGAGCCACCCCAGAAACACAATGCACAGTTCCGAGAAACGCGTGTCCACCAGCAGGGAAAGGGGGGGAGGCGGGGCCCCTTGTTCACTCCACCTGCTTGAAACAGGTGCCCGAACACAGCCAATCTCTACTGCATCTGCATGGGGAGCCCGCGCAGATCGGCTAAACGATAGGTTCTGTTTGTCTGTCCGGCCGTTGGCCCTAGACTGGGGAGTGGTCGGGCAACAAACGTAGGACTCTTCATGCGTGTAAATACCAGCGCGGAGGGGGATATCCAACATGCATTCGGCACGCGTGCACTTAGAACGCGTTTCCACGCGTGTAGGCACCAAAAGGGGTTCCGACATGCTGCCAGCGGAATCCGCCGGCCCCCTTGTGGGGCCACCAGGCTGTAGGCCGGGAATTCGCAGTTTCCTGTACCAGTTGCGGCTTCCAGCTTCCACTGTAACAGTTCTGCTTCTTGCTGCTTACTGTTCCTTGTTGACTTCTTGCTGCTTACTGTTCCTTGTTGATGGACCGCGCGAGGGGGGGAGGCCCGAAACGGGCATTTTTACCGCGGCCAAAAATGGTTCTCAGAATTTCTGGGGACAAATTGACACCCCTCACGCAGATTGGCGGGGTCAGGGTGCAAAAACACATGGGATTTGCCACATGTTTGACATTCGGTGGCACCCCTCACGCAGATCGGCGGGGTCAGGGTCCATAAACTCATGGGATTTGCAACATTTCGCAAAATTCCTGGCACCCCTCATGCAGATCGGCGGGGTCAGGGTCCAACAACGCGGATTCACAAATATGAAGCGTAATCTCTCTGCCCCCTCCCTCCGCACTTGCATGCATCCGTCTCACTTCCTCCTCTGCTCCCTCGTCTTCTCCGAGCTCCTGGGGGCCATGCCTGCAAAGGGCCACTCGGCCAGGCCCGTCTCCGAGGCCGCCCCGACAGGCTCCGCGATGCCTCCGTTCGACGGCCCGCCGGGCGACTGGACAGGGGCGTTGCCCTTCCACCCTCCAGCCGGCCAGGCCGCAGCCAGCGGCAACCTCTTCTTGGGGCAGGTCGTGGCGGCGGCTGTGAGGCAGGACGCCAAGGCGCTCGAGGAGCTGGCGGCGCAGCACGACCCGGCCGACCAGCTGGTGCAGGCCGCCGGCCAAGGAGAACCACTTCGCAGCCTCGAGCCCGACGACTCCGCCATGCGCGCCGCCGCCGCGGCGCGCAAGGCCGGGCGGTTCCTCCAGACACCTGCGCCCAAGGTGGAGGACGTGGGCCGCTTACAGCGCCCGTTGGCGCAGACCTTGTGCCAAGAGTTGCCGCGCGTCTGGGCCGCTGCCCTCCAAGGCCGCGTCTCTTGGGGCGACGCCCTGAACTGGGCCGGCCAGGCCGCCGCTGCCGCGGCAGACATCGCCGCCCCGCCCGGGCAGGCCGAGAGGGCGTCGGCGTGCTGCGCCTTACCCTTACGGTGGCACCGTAGGGGTATAAACTTTCCAGCCGCCCAGGGACAGGCGCCCCCGACAGCGAAAAAGTGTATTTCATACCGCTCTCCAATCGCTGAGAGATGGACTGGTCTCTCCTGTCGCGCTACCAGGCCGAGGGCGGGGCAGAGGCCGGGCAGCAGCGCGGGGCCGCCGGCGCGGGGCAGGCTGCCGCCGCGGCCGGGCAGGGCGAGCGCCGGCAGGCGACGCCCTTCCCCTGCCGGCGGTGCCTTGTCGGGAGAACTGCGCGAACGCGAACAAGTGCACCTACCTGCGTGCAATATCTATATCCATATCCAGTGCGTCTTGGACTTTCTTCGAAAGGGGCGCCGCAAGGCCGAGGCGCACTGGATATGGATAAAAATTGAGCCTTTTGGAAGCAGATTATAATCCATATCCCGTGCGCCTCATGTCTCTTGAAAAGAGTGTCCGAAACTCCAAGACGCACTGGATGTGGATAAAGACATTGCCCGCACTACCGGCACGGCGGCCCGTTCTGCCGCACCACAGGCCCCGGGCCCACGAGGTGCTTCCTTTCGCACCTCGAGGCCAACGGCAGGGAACTCCTCCGGAAGGACAACTCCGCCGGGGGCCGCGAGCAGCCGCACCCCCTCCGCCGAGGGGGCGCGGGCCCGGCGAGCGCGCCACCCCGCAGCGCAGGTGAGGGGCCAGCCCGCGGCAGGCCGCCCTCGGCCTGGCACCGCGTGGCCAGGGCTCGGCCGCGAGGGATTCTGTGCAGCGGCGCGCCGCCTCCCCGGTGCAGTTGACAGTCGGCCCGTCCTCGCCCGCCTCCCCGCCTCTTCCTGCCTCCTCTGCCCCTTCCCTGGCCTCCCCTCCCCCGCTTCCGCGTGCTCCGCCGAGCGCGCTGAGCTTTCAGGTTTGAAGTTCCAACGCGGACCTGCTAGCGTTGGCGCCTGCAGCCGCCGGGCACGCCTTGCCTGGCGAGGGCGCAGCGTTCTCAGTCGTCTACGGCTGGCGTGGCGACCCTTCTGTGGCAGTGCAGCCACGCCGCGTGTTTAACGTGGTCCAGTCTTCGGGCCTGCTGCCCAGCGAACACGTCGCGGCAGCGCTCGACGCGGCAGGTCGTGGTGCTCACCCTTTGAACCAGCCACCCGATGTGGCCGAGGGCACGGCGATCGGCATTGCAGGGCAAATTCGCTTCGGTAGCGCTGTCAATGACACTCGCTTGAAAAGGTTGGCTGTGCTTAGAGTCTGGAAGCGGCGGAGATAATATAGTCTTCTGCCGCAAGTTTCCAGTGTGGCAGCGCAAGTGGTCGGAGGACAGTGCCGCTGCGCCGTCCTGCGCCTGGGAGGTCCGTACGTGCGCGGATGCGTCGGATTCCCCGGGCGGGTGCTGCTTTAACAGGGCCTGGGCGGCTAGTGAGAACATCGTATGTTCAGACAGCGAGGTTATGCTTGCGCAGATGGCTACCTCGCAGCTCGCGTTCGGTGCGCCTCCTGTTGGCAGCAACTCTGATTTGCGAAAAGCGTACCATCAAATCGGCCGCTGCCGTTTTAAGGTGCGAGCCGTCCAACTTTTTGGGGACCCGCAGAGCCGCGAAATTGTTTGACGGGAACCTCTGTCGCGGGACTTCGGCACTGGAGGTGCCGTAACTATCTCCAATGTCGTGTTCCGCTGTCTGCGCGACGTGCTGCACCGGTGGTTTTTCATGAATGCAAATAATTATGTTGATGACTTCTGGTCGTGGAAACCACCGTGGTCCGCCTCGTCGGCTCAATTCGTCCTCCGCGAGGTGCTGAAGGCTTTAGAGCACGACGCCAATGAGACGCAAAGCGCGCACGGCTTACAGCATCCCCTCCTGGGGCTTATGTTCACCTCCCGCCAGGAGGGCCCCGAAGTCGGCAACCGCAGTTGCCAGCGCGAGCCGCTTGCTCTGGAATGCGAGGAACTCGCTGGCTCTCGCCCGCAGGCAGGGCCGGCGTCCACCTGCATCGGCAGGCCCGTGTTCGCCTCTGGGGGGCTGCAGGGGAAAGCCGGGGCGCACGCCCGGCGTCCACTGCACGACGCCCTCGGGCACCTTGACGCCGCCCAGCGCGCTGGCGAATGGCCTCCGCAGGCACAGGTGGCCCTCCGCCAGTGGGCGCACCTGCTGCGACGCGCGCGCCCGCGCACGCAGCCGCTCGCTTCGCCGGCCACTCCCGTGGCTATTTTGTATGGTGATGCAGCATTGTCGACCAGGCGTGCCGCAGCCATGATCGTCATCCCCGGTGCGGCGCGGGAGCGCCGCGAGGGCTTCTCGGTTGTGCTGCCGTGCGCGGCGCTTGAACAGCTGGGGCCGTCCCATCAGCACGCCATCAACGGGGCCGAAGCCTGGTGGATCGCCAAAGCACTAGAGGTGTGGGGCGAGACAATCCGCTCGCATCGTCTTCTCTGCTTCGGAGACAACACCGCTGCGCTTGCCGGCTGCGTCCGGGGATACAGCGGGTCCCCCTACGTAGCGTGCGTTGTCGGTGCCGTGCACGAGCTTCTCTGCCAGCATGACATCGGGTGCTGGTTCGAGTATGCTCACACCAAGTCGATCCCGCTGGACGCGGCGTCGCGGGAGGACCGTTAAAATGCTCTCACCGGGCTCGGGGCCTCTGTTCTGCAGGTCGCGCCAACCTTGGGCGTCGATCTGTCCCGCTACCACACGAGGGTTGTTTCGCGTGGCTAAACAACGAGGGGCCGCTGCTGCTGCCGCCGCCGCTGGTTGCTGCTGCTGCTGCCTCCTCCTGGCTCCTGCTGCTGCTCCTTCCTCCTCCTCCTCCTCCTCCTCCTCCTCCTCCTCCGACTCCTCTCACTCCAAGGGCCTGCGGGGCGGTCGCCGCCGTGGCAGCGTGGCGAAGTCTGAGGGCAGGGTGCTCCGCCAAACCCTCTTCGCCCCTTCCCCCCCCCTCCCTCCTCTCCTTCCGGCCCAGGGGAGAGGGACGGCCGGGCGGACGACGCCGCCCAGCGCTACCAAGCTCAAGCTCGGCGTGCCCACATGCGTGCGGCTCCCAGCCCGCGGGCCCCGCCGGGCGCGTGGCCCCGCGCTTGCGTATAGGTGCGCGCCCCGTGCCGCCGCCGCTGCGGCAGCACTCCGGGCCCCGTCGGGCCCCGCTCCTGCAACCGCGCGGGTTGTGTTGCCGGTCGCCCAGGGGCCTTCCGAGGCCCCTGGCTGCCCCGCCGGGCAGTCTTGCACCGCTGTGCCCAGGGGCAGCGGCAGCGCGCTCGGCTGCCTGCGTGCTGCTGCAACCCCCCGCGGGGTCCAGGCCACTGCTTGTGGTGCTCCGCGCGAGCCTGGCCCCGCTGAGGCCTGGTCGACGTATTTGGGCGTGGTGGACAGTTTGCGCAATGCTGCCGCCAGACGGAACGTCGACATGATGACGGCGCTGAGCCGGGACAGGCGGTGCTCCTTCAGGCACCCAGATGGCGCCCCGCCCCGCGAAGTGCTGCAGGCCATGAGCGAAGCTCGTGCTCAAAGTGCGGACCTGCTCCGGCTGGCCGACGCAGTGGTTGAGAGCCGGTTTCTGTGCAAAACGGTACCGTCTACACGTTACATACGCGTCGCATCTGCGTATGGTTGCATGGGCTTCCGAGCTCCTGGGTGAGCCCCCGCTGGGGTGCAGTGTGCAGCACATTCGCCGCGTCGCGGCGGTGTGCGCGTGCGCGTCAACGCAGCGTGGTTGGTTGAGCGCGTGGGCCCTGGCTCACCAGGTAGCCGGCGTGCCGTGGCAGGGTGACCAAAATGTAATTTTGAAAGGCATCAGGCTCGGCACCACAAAGTGCTGGACGCCCAGAGTGCCGAGGCAGAAGGTTGATGGCCGGCTTTTGCGGCGTTTGCTCCGCCATGCGCTGGCGCACCAGCGACAGTGGTGCTACATCATCGCCGTCTTGGCATACAACCTTTTGTTGCGAATGCCCGCTGAGTTGTTCGCGCAGTGCAAGCGTAATCTTGTACAGGTAGTTGGGGGGCGTTTTACGTATGACCCCCATCCGGCGAAAGCAGCGCGTGGATCTGTGCACCCTTCATGCTTTTTGCTTGTGCGGCGCAGATGAGAGCATCTGTTTGCACGCTTGGCTTCCTGTGTGGGACCATGCGATCGCAGCTGGGGGCCCTCCGTTCGGCGGGTATACGCCTGCGACGTGGACCGACGCCACTTGCAAGCCATCGGGGTCGCTAACCCCGAAGTGTGGTTTGGGCACGATGTCCGGCGCGGAGCTGCGAGCGACGTCTTCGCGGCCTCCAGAGTCGAAGCCATGCTTTCCCGTGGCGGCTGGCGTTCTGTCACGTCCGCGCGACCGTACGTGCCGGGCGACGAGGTTGCAGCCGGCTTGCTCGCGCAAGGGGTCATCGATGATTCGGGGCCCGAGGAATTGAGCGCGGCCACATGGGCGCGCTTGCCCGCTGCACCGTGGCCACCCCCTGGCACTGGGGCCGGGGTGTGGCCTCGTGTGCGCGACTTGGCCAGAAGCGCAGTTCGTCTCTCTGTCCCCTCCCTCCGCACTTGCATGCATCCGTCTCACTTCCCCCTCTGCTCCCTTGTCTTCTCCGGGGTCACAAGGGAGGACCGCTTGTCCCGCCCTCCCACCCTCTTTCTCCCTCTGACGCCGCTGCGCCTGGCCGGGGTGTGACCTCGTGTGCGCGACTTGGCCAATGAAGAAAAGAACGCGCAGGAGAAGGATTAGGAGCAGGAGCTAACACAAGGGATGTACCACATTTCTGACATTCGGTGGCACCCCTCACGCAGGTCGGCGGGGTCAGGGTGCAAAAACACAAGGGATTTACCACATTTCTGACATTCGGTGGCACCCCTCACGCAGGTGTGCAAAAACACATGAGATTTGCCACATGTTTGACATTCGGTGGCCCCCCTCACGCAGATCGGCGGGGTCAGGGTCCCAAAACACATGGAATTTGATACATTTTTGAAAATTCTGTGGCACCCCTCACGCAGATCGACAGGGTCAGGGTCCAAAGACAAACAGGTCCCGACACTGCTTCACGGCGAAGCCGAAGCCTCATGACTTCGCTCTTCCATGGCCCATTCTCCGAGAGAGGGGGCCGGCGGCAGGGTGGGAAGCCCTTACGTATTTCCACGGGGCAAAAAAGTTGCGTTCGCAGAGGGGTGACCCAATGTCCGTTTCGGAACGCGTGAGATTGGCACGCGCGCCCGCCGGGGGAGGGGGCGAGGGCGTGACGAACCCGCCCCCGCCCCAAGCAGAGGCCATCGACGGCGGCGCCGACGACGATAGGGGAACAAAAAGTAACACAAACATAAAAACTCGGAGGTCCGCGCGGATTTCTCGGATCGGCGCTGGGGCCTCCCGGCGGCGCCTCCGGCGCCGCCCCTGGCGCGCTCCGCGCGCCAAGGATGGGGTCCAGCGCTGATTCCAGAAATCCGCGCGGACCTCCGAGTTTTTATGCTTGTGTCACTTGTTGTTCCCCTAGACGAGGCGCCAGAACCCATCTTTCTGCGCGCAGCAGCGGTGGGGTGCGCGCAGCCGAGGCCGGCCACGGAGGAGCCGGGCAGGAGAGCAGAATCCCCCTGGACCGGCTTAAATAAAAACGCGGTGGCCTGCCCTGGCCTCATGTTGCTCCCATCCTACTTGAGGACCACATCCCAGAAATAATTTCGAGCACCCAGAACAGTGCCAGAAGAGTGTCAAAGGAGTGTCGAGACAGCGTCGGGCAAGTGTCTCCCAGGGCCCGACGCGTGAAAACCCTTGAGCTTCGGTATTCCTTTCTGGCGCTCGAAATTCTTTCTGGTGATCAATGCGGGCAAGATTCGATTCATGTCCATATCCAGTGCCTCTTGGACTTTGGAAGCGGCGCCACAAAGCCGAGGCGCACTGGATATGGATAACAATCGAGCCTCTAGGGGGCAAATTTATCCATATCCAGTGCGCCTCGGGTTTCTTGGGAAGGGAGCCCGAAACTCCATAATTACTGCAGTGGACATAGACAGAAGTATTGCCCGCAATCAAGGCCAAAGCAGGTTGGAACATCATGGCCCTGCCCACGAGCAGGGCCAGGGCGGGCGGGGACTTCTTGAAAGAGCAAACGCCGGGCGTCGGCCGCGGAACGCCGAGCGCCCACCTCGGGGAGAGCCGGCTGGAGTCCAGCGCGACGGACCTCGGGCACTCGAGCAAGACAGCCTCATGAGTGGTCAGCCTGGGTCGTGTCGGGCGAAAGGGGGGGATAGCAAAGGGGGGGGTTGAGAATCAGCTCACGTAGCTGATTTTCCCGGCGCCTCCCGGCGCCGGAGGCAGCTATGTGTCGAGGAATGGCCCCCTCGGTGAAGCCGAAACCAGCTGCATGCGGCAAATTTCGTAACCCCCCCTTCCCTTTCCCAATCCCCCCCTTTCGTCTGGCCCGACTGGGGGCGCGGCCCTGACCGTGCAGGGTGCGAGATCCACGCCACGTCCACGCACCCCCGAAACCTATAGCCCGCCTTCCCCCTCTCAGGGAGCACGACGCGTGCTCCCAGGGGCCCCTCCAGGGACATGTCCGGAGTGGCGAGAATCATGTCCCCAGAAGCCTCCCTTGGGACATGATTGGATGGGGTCCACGATAGGCCCTCTTGCACAGAGTGTTTTCCGCTGCCGAACTTCCGGATGGGCGCCTACCTGTTCTGAAGGCCGGTGCTCAGATGCAGGGCACGTCTGATCATTTGATCTGCCGGGCGTGGCCCGCTCACACGGGAGTCAACAGGGAGGGCGAGCGGCAGACACGCCGCCGCCGCCAAGGCCGAGCGACGCCGCCGCAGCGGCTGACACGAACCCATGGCCCTGCCAACCATACCGTTGCCCGGGGACCATGTTCGCCCCTGTAGCCAACATGCGGACGGCGACTTCTCTACACGTGGAAAACTGCATTCGCGGATGGGGGGATCCAACGTGCGTTCGGCACGCGTGCACATGGCACGACTTCACGCGTGTAGGCCCGCAGGGGGGGTACCCAGCATGCGGCCAGCGGATTCTTCACACGTCGAAACACGTGCGCGGAGGGGTGTATCCAACACGCGCTCGTCATTTGTTCGCGTAACACTTGCTTTACGTGTGAGGGCGCCGTGCGGCAGCCTCTTGACGGAAACCTCGCCCCCCAGAAAGCGACTTAGATCATACCCCGCTAAAAAGTAAGCCAGACCACCCATCAGACGCGATAACTATGTACGATATGGCGCGGCTGCAACTGCATCCCAGGTGAGGGCTATCGTTGCCCAGGTTAGGGCTTGCGGCTGCATACCGCGCTATGAGGAGAAACAAAAAACCCGACTGAACCAGCAAGGCATCTGGCTCCACGGTGCACGTGTCGCGATGTCCGCCCTCAGTCGCAGCAGCGTCCAGAGAAGCACGGAGCACGCAGACATAACCGACGGTCTGACACTTAGTTCGGTCCGAATGAAGAGCGACTCCACACGTAAGGCGTATCAAGAGTCTCGCGAGGCATCATAACGAGAAAGGAACAACGAGGACAGGGAAGACGGAAGGCGGGCTGGAATATCAAGATGGGGAAGGTGCAACGAGTTATATATTTGTACTGCGCTGGGGTGTTATGGAACATCAACTGGATCTATGGCCTCGAGCAACCTGGACGCAGCGGGGCCGCAAGATCATGGGGATACCCTTCTTCATCTTAACACGGCATTTCCTCCTCCGCCCTTCCTGCCCCTCCTCCCCCTGCTCCTGCTCGCGCCACTACTCCGTCTCCTTCCCTCGCGGCCAACCCCACTTCTCCCACTGATCATGATCGGGGTGATTCCCATTCTTCCTGCATGCATCGCCCCCCCCGCCGCTCTCCTCGGCCTCCGGCTGTGATTCTCTGAAGGCCGCCAGGATCCTCTTGAGCCATCCTGTTCGCAGAACTGGCAGGGCCCTTCGAGCAGAACCGAGCAGAACCGATCGGCGAAGGCCCTTAGGGCCTGAAAATTACGGTGACATCGTTGTGTGTGAACATTATCCCGGCAAAGCAACCTAACAGCGATGTATATAAGCATGTCTGGAAGCATTTCCCTTACGATTCAGGTGGGAATCCAGTTGTAGAATTCTGGGGTTCTCGCAGTCGCAGTCGCATTCGCAATGACAGTCGCAGTGGCAACGGCCTTAGGATCCAATGGAATCCTAAGGATGCCTAAGGATTCCTAAGACATCCTTAGGCATCCTTAGGAATCCATAGGAATCCTTAGGAAACGTTAGGAATCCTTAGGAATCCTGATTCCTAGGGATTCCTGGGAATCCCAAGGATTCCTGAGGATTCCTGAGGATGCTTAACTATGCCTACGGATTCCTAAGGATTCCTAGGGATTCCAAAGGATTCCTAAGGATTCCTCGGGATTCCTAAGGATTCCTATGGATTCCTACGGATGCCTCAGCCTGCCTCAGTTTCAACCTCAGCCTCAGCCTGCCTCGGCTTGCCTCAACCTCAGCCTCAGCCTGCCTCGGCCGGCCTCAGCCTCAGCCTGCCTCAGCCTCAGCCTCAGCCTGCCTCGGCCTCAGCCTGCCTTGGCCTCAGCCTGCGTCAGGCTCAGCCTCAGCCTGCCTCAGCCTCAGCCTGCCTCAGCCTCAGCCTCAGCCTCAGCCTCAGCCTGCCTCGGCTTGCCTCAGCCTCAGCCTCAGCCTGCCTCGGCCTCAGCCTGCCTCGGCCTCAGCCTGCCTCAGCCTCCCCTCCTCCCCCCCCCTTCCCCCCCCCCCCATTCAGCCTCACCTTGTCTCAGCTTCGGCCTGCCTCGGCCTCATCCTCAGCCTCAGCCTCAGTCTCAGCCTCAGCCTGTCTCGGCCTGAGCCTGCCTCGGCCTCAGCCTCAGCCTGCCTCAGCCTCAGCCTGCCTCAGCCACAGCCTCAGCCTGTCTCAGCCTGCCTCAGCATCAGCCTCAGCCTCAGCCTGTCTCGGCTTGCCTCGGCCTCAGCCTCAGACTCAGCCTCGGCCTCAGCCTGCCTCAGCCTCAGCCTGCCTCAGCCTCAGCCTCAGCCTGTCTCAGCCTCAGCCTGCCTCAGCATCAGCCTCAGCCTCAGCCACAGCCTGCCTCGGCTTGCCTCGGCCTCAGCCTCAGCCATCCTCGGCCTCAGCCTCAGCCTGCCTCAGCCTCAGCCGCAGCTAGCCTCAGCCTCAGCCACAGCCTCAGCCTCAGCCTCAGCCTGCCTCAGCTTCAGCCTCAGCCCCAGCCTGCCTCGGCTTGCCTCAGCCTCAGTCTCAGCCTGCCTCGGCCTCAGCCTCAGCCTCAGCCTTCCTCAGCCTCAGCCTCAGCCTCTCAGCCTCAGCCTGCATCAGCCTCAGCCTTAGCCTCAGCCTGCCTCAGCCTCAGTCTCAGCCTGCCTCAGCCTGCGTCAGCCTCAGCCTCAGCCTCAGCCTCAGCCTGCCTCGGCCTCAGCCTGCGTCAGCGTCAGTGTCAGCCTCAGCCTGCATCAGCCTCAGCCTCAGCCTGCCTCAGCCGCAGCTTGCCTCAGCCTCAGCCTCAGCGCTTGCCTCAGCCTCAGCCTCAGCCTCAGCCTCAGCCTCAGCCTGCCTCAGCCTCAGCCTCAGCCTCAGCCTGCCTCAGCCTCAGCCTCAGCCTGCCTCGGCCTCAGCCTGCCTCGGCCGCAGCCTGCCTCAGCTCGGGCATTCAAAATATGGCACAAGACTGGTGTTCTGGGAACACGAAGATCACGAAGTGGCCTACAGTTGGCTCCGGGCAATCAACATATGGTACAAGAATGGTGTTCTGGGAACACGAAGAACACGAAGTGGCCTACAGTTGGCTCCGGGCAATCAACATATGGTACAGGAATGGTGTTCTGGGAACACGAAGAACACGAAGTGGCCTACAGTTGGCTCCGGGCATTCAAAAAGTGGCCTGGGAATGGTGTTCTGGGAACACGAAGAACACGAAGTGGCCTACAGTTCGCTCTGGGAATTCAAATTGTGGCCTGGGAATGGTGTTCTGGGAACACGAAGAACACGAAGTGGCCTACAGTTGGCTCGGGGCGTTCAAAATGTGGCCTGGGACTGGTGTTCTGGGAACACAAAGAACACGAAGTGGCCTACAGTTCGCTCCGGAAATTCAAAATGTGGCCTGGAAATGGTGTTCTGGGAATGGATCCCTTTGGATTCCTGAAAATTCCTAAGGATTCTGTGGCTGACGGATCCGTCCGGTTGCTTGTCCCGATCCCGCCCAGACCCCCTGGGGCGTCAATATGCTCTCTTTGGAAACCACTATAAATCTACTAGCAAAAGCTGTTGGGAAATATGGCAACGGCGGGACCTCGGGTAAAAAACGTGGGGCACACTGGGCCAGGATCACACTTCAGCCGAGCATCGTTGCCACTGCAGCTCGTGATTGCACACGATCTGCATGAGTCGCTGCAGGTGTGCAGGGTTTCATGAGACTGTGCTGCGGACCGTAGCCACCGAGGCTCAAGTCTAGAAGTCGCAGGACACGTCCTAGAGCCAGGCGGGAAAATTGCGCAGTCACAGCTTGAGAGCTCAGTGGTATCATCGCACCCCCCCCGGAGGACGACGCGGATCGAAGAAGAAAGAACGGCATTAACATAAACTGTTGGCGCTCCGCGCGGATCTCTTGGGTCCGCGCTGGACCCCCCTCCCAGGCGCGAGGAGCGCGCCAGGGGCGGCGCCGGAGGCGCCGCCAGAGGGGCCCGAGCGCAGATCCAAGAAATCCGCGCGGAGCGCCAAAAGTTTGTGTTCAGGACGGGCGTGTCCTCCTACAGGCGGGCGTTGTACGAAAAAACTGAAACGATCAAAAAAAAACGACACATGCAAAACAACACTGAACAAATCGCCCCCGTACTACTTCTCGGCTACTCTTGAATATTCCTCCTGTAGAGGGACAGGCCCGACTTAGGTTTATGCGTATGCCCCCTCGCCCCGGAACTCCCACTGCGCGCCCGCCGCCCCGCGGACGCCCGCACCTCACAGCGACAGCTTCGTGGCTGCAGGGCCGCGCCGCGCTGCGCCGAACGCAGGCTGCCCAGCGCACCGCGCGACCGCGGCGGCGAGCGACAACACCTCATGGGGACGGGGGAGAGGAGGGGTGAGGAGGTCCTCCTCCTCCTCCGCCTCCTCTACTTTCCTCCTCCTCCTCCGCCTTCTCCTCCTCTCTCCACCCCTCCTCCTCCTCCTCCTCCTCCTCCTCCTCCTCCTCCTCCTCTCCCTCCTCCTCCTCCTCTTCTTATTATTGTTCTTATGATTAGTATTCGTGCTCTTATTTGTAGTAGTATTAGTAGTATCCGTCTCCTTAGTAGTATTCTTCTTCTTCTTCTTCTTCTTCTTATTATTATTATTATTAGTATTAGTATAATTATTATTACTATGATTATTGATATAATTCTCAGTAGTCGTCTTCTTCTGCTTATTAGTAGCTGTCTTATCATGCTTCTGCTTGCTATTCTTATTCTTGTGTTTATTCGGCTGCTTCTTCTTCCTCCTCCTCCTCCTTCTCATCCTTCCCCT